ATGTGACATAACATGAAAATCCCAGCCACAAATCAGGATGAGCTGATGTGGAAGAGGGAGGGGCAGCAGAATTAGAGCAGAATTATGACAAAGCCTAAACGGTCTCCACAACTGTTATTTTAGAAAACTGCTGTGTGCTATTGTCTGCTATACAGTATGTATGTGAAATATCTCTATTCCCATTGCATGGGCCCTTGTCATCAAACATACCCTGTATAAATATCTAGGAAACTGTTCTCCTTTGAGGCTGTAGGCTCAAAAGGGGTAGTAACTGTAATAGAAAATACACCTGTTATTCACAACAGGTTGAGCTTGAATAGGTGGATAAAGTCCACTTAGTGCTGCCACAGCCTTAAGGTGCAGCAAGGAACAACACCTACAACCAGAAATTTAGTTAAAAAAAAAAAAAAACTCCCTCCAAATGCCAAACAAAGAAAAGTTGGTATTTTATCTTGACTAAAACACTTAGCTTTCAGGAAAAAAAAACGGTTAACTGACTGCTTTAAAAGGAGAAATTAAACAAACACGACACAAAAACAGTGGCTGCTGCAATAACATTTCCTGTGTTCATCTGCTGTCATTTGGGAATTTCATCACAACCCAACAACTGTGTCCTCTGGAAGCTTTACCTTGACAATGGCATGCAGTCTGAGGTCACTGGCACGCATAAATCTCAACTAAACAAAAGCAATCAGCAAATAAAGCAAGGCTCAACCATGTTACTAAACAGGTCGTATCTGCTACATGTTCACTTTTGCAGCTCCTTTGTTTGTTAGTTGTTTTCATCACAGTTGCCGTTATTGCTGACTTCCCATTAATGTGGCTGCTAGCTGGTGACTGTTGGCCATGCATATAATATACATCTGTCCAACGTACAGGAGGATAATATGCATGCAGTCTGGGGATCTGTGGCATGTGAGACGTGTATGTATATTCTACTGTATTGCCGTTATATTGTCATAAAGTCTCACATTGTAACATTAGACGTAACAGTCAGTAATGGTCACAGACCTTACTTTCCCACACTTTGCTGCCCATGCCACCACTCGCCCCCCACTACACACACACCAGTGATGTCGCCTCAGTGCTCTCCACACACTGGCTGCCTTTTGCCTTTTGTCACCAAGACCGCATGAGACGCCACCTAAATCCCCTTCCTGTAACCAAGGCCACGGACCACTATTGTAATCAGATTCCAGCTACATTCCAGTGATTTTTGCAACAATGAGATAAGGTGCTGTTTTTTCACCTCTCTGCAACCCCGAGTGACCATGCGATCTGCGCTCCCATCAATTTAAATGGTACTCGAACACAACACATTACGCACCAGTGTTTCAAGGAATGCTATTGTGTTCTTTTATACTTTGTTGAGAAAATGAATGGGATTTGCAGACACAAGAGCAATGTGGCCAAAAGTTTAGCTCAGTGCTAGGTAAGGCATAGAAACAATGACCAGATTTAATCAAATTGGTCATTTTGTCCCAGATGTTTACAGATGAAAAGATTTCAACACTAGAAGTTCCAACTTCCGCAATCCAAAACAGGAAAATCACTTAAATTCAGATATAGGAAACATAAACATGTCACAAAGCGTCTGCATGTTTAGTATGACACTGGCCATGCCTTAAACTGTACTCCAGCATAACCCCCTCCATTCCTGAGTCTTTATCACTTTCTGCACTGTAAGACTTAAAAGACTAAATCCTAAAGTTCTTATCCTACTTACAAGTCAAGGTTTAACAGGGACCTCTTTAAAGTCCTATAAAATTACTCACAACAGGAAAAGCTCAAGTTTTTATTAGTGTTTGTGTGTAGGGCTGCATTTGTATCTGCAGCCATTCAAATTTAACATATAACATCTGCTTTAGTTTCTGCCTTGCACTGTTCCAATAAGACAATCCACACAACAGATCTAAAGAAAAGAAGAAGAAGAGTGCCAAAACCTGCTTACAGCTCAAATCTAAAAACACTCCACTGAGTACAAAGCATGTCCTTTCCTCTTCCTGATCAGCTACTTCCCCCTCCCCCAATGAGTAATGCACAAACCACTGCTCCATTTCAACAGATGTTGTCAGATGTGTGGTGGGAAAGACCAGTGAAAGAAATGGTATTAGTCTGTGTGCACCTGCTGGAATTACTAAGCTACAGAGCATTACAGAACTACAAGAGAAAGGTCCAAATAACAGGAGAAGGGGCCTAACTACATCTGTGATCAAATTTGACACTGGCTTGTTCTCTTAATTAATTTTCGGTGTAGATGCCCTTTTAATACAAAAAAAACATCCACAGTGAATAGCTTGCATGTCTGTAGCAGCACAGATTTAAGCATGTGATCCTCTTCATCTATCAGGCTGATCCACACAAACAAACAAACACACTAATATGCTAAGCAGGTGGTTGGTTAATGAGATGTTTCTTCCCACCTGTGCTTTAGAAAATACTCCCGGCCATCTTGTCTGGGGAGTAACACAACAAACCCCTACTGTAAATCCAAGATCAGCTTTTCAGGTTGTGGTTATTTCATTCTGAGCGTTACTGGCAGAACGTTATCTAGGAGAAAGTGGGGACCGAGATAACATCACAGACAGGACTGGACACAAACGAAGGTATGTCAGACATGTCAAAAGAATGCAATCTTTAAGTTCAAGATTCAGAGGCCAAGCTGTTGACCAAGTATTTAGCTTCTTTCCGCGAGATGCTGATTATTCGAGGAGAGTTACTGTAAAATGAGAGATCTCAATCTACTAGTAAGCTACTGTAAGTTCACAAAGCATGCCTGAACCAGTACTTTACCATTTAAAAAGACATAAATGGCTCTGGATGGCCAGCAGGGAACAGCTGGATTTAGAGACTTTGATCAGCACTGATGAAATAAATTCCACGGCTATGTTGTCTAGTGTTTCATGTTCATATGATTCAAAATGTTAAAGATGTACTTGAGAGTTCACCCCAGCCCACACAAGAGTGCCTTGCTGCAGTTGATAGGAACTAACACTCCCTCACATCTTATGCTTAGTTTCCCTCTGCTTCCTGACCCACTTCCTCTCTGGGCCCAGCATTAGGAAAGCAGGCTACGCACTTCTGAAGACCTTGTACTGCAGCACAACAAGCAGAGGTTGATGTGTCTGAAACGGTTAACAAGTCTAAACACAGCTGGAGGACTGCTGACCCCAGGGTCGCTCTGTCGGCCTCCACCTGCTTTGCAAACCCAGCGCAAGATTCGCCGAGGGAAACTCCATCAGCTCCACAGCTAATTACACATGAGAGCTGAGTAACCTAGTTCAAGACAGGGGGCAAATATGTAAGTCACCCTGCCCTTGTGGCACACTAACCACGACCATTACAAATCAAAGTACCCTATTGTCATGATCAAGCATATGAGCCTGTGGTGGTGTACAGACAGAGGGGTTACACGGAGGACTATTTGGGACGTCATCCAGCCACTAGTGCTTGATCGCAGAGAGTATTTATGACTGCCAAGTAAGAAGGCGGGGGGCCACTGTTTAGTCATTAATCATCTTCCCAAAAAAAAACCTTCAGCATTGGATCGATTTTCATACTATTGTTTTGTCAAAATCTGCCTCTCCAGGTCAGCCCCAAGTAAAATTTTAAGGATGAGGCCAAGTCAATATACTTGTTTAGGCACATGAAACAATTAGTCAATTTATCACATAGCTGATGCACAGAAAATGCCAAACACTCCCCTGGTTCCATCTACTCAAATGTAAGGATTTGCTGCTTTTCTCTCTCTCTCTGTATGTTAACAACTATTAACAGAACATGCATGGGCTTTTAATAGACTGTATAATGAAGGAAAAGAAAATGATCTCGACTTGATGCCCTACTTAGGAAACACTGGAGTATTATGTGTCACTGTCCAACCACTTATTAATGTGCACACCCATTTTAATTAAAACATATGTGGTCCAGTTGTGAAAAGTTTAATTAAAACATTTTGGTAATAAAGTGTCTTTGAATGCAAACCAAACATACTATCTAATGATGTAACCTATCTTGATTTGACTTGACCACATCATTAAACCAAACCCTCATCTTTATATTTTTTTATGCTGTAAATGGACTGGTTTTTAAAACAGCTGTGAATATATGGACTCCATTTATAACCCAGTTAGGTGCAGCAGCATGATATTTCCATGTCTGCCCTCGTGGACAGTAACTCGACCATAAGATTTCTGCATATTTTCATACTAACAATTCTCCACGTGTTATGACCGAGCAGGCAGAGCTGGTGGAGCACGCAGTGATCTATGCAACTGGGAGGTGCAGCATGGAAGCAGCGACCACTTCTATGCTTTGACCCTTTTCCATTTATCTTCCATACCAGTGTGTTAGTGGGTCAAGTCTGAGCCTGGCATCTGGATGAATACTGTGGATATATTTTAATACATATACATTGTGAATATTAGATGATTTTTTTTAAGGGGCAGTTTATTCTATGCAAATGAAAGAGTTAATTCTTGAATAATATTGTATTTGGAGCCTATTGTTCAGCTGTAAGAGACTATATTAAGGCCGGTGGAGAGTGCCAGGGGCCAGGGCGCGGTTGTGCTGCCCGCACCTCCGTCTATGTGGATCTATCGTCTCGGAGATAAGTTTTCCTGCCGCACTATGGTTAGCTACCCCACCCCGCTCAATAACGTACAACACCACATTTCATCTCGAGAAATAGCCACGAAACCCACCCAACACCAAAAAGGAACATAAAAACCTTGCTTGTAACAATGTCTCTGGTTTATTGGTGATAAACTTTTTCTTTTTTTTAAACAATGTAAGTTAACGGCCGTTGAAGGCTAGCGCTAGCTTAAAAAAAAAAAAAACTGTTCTCATTATACAGACTATCCCGATTCATTTTAGCTAGCGCATGCACTTTCCTGTCTGGGCTGCTTCAGTTTGGTGGATAAACGAAAACCACTGCGAACAATTGAAGGTATGAAAAACAAAACGAAGACTCTTAATAGTCTACACATTCTGTAACCTACCTTCTGAGAGGAAAATGAAAGTATTCCCGAAAGCCGAATGATATAACACAACGTATCCCAATTGATTCCTCCCTCTGCCGGAGCCGCTGCTGCGCTGACACAACCCGCTCTGTGAGCTCTCTCCCCTCTCCGACACAAGCCCCGCCCCGGCACGGTTTGGCGAGCCCTGGTTGGATGAGCTGACTTTGACGGACGGTTTCAACAGCCAATCACAGCGACTTTCCGAATAAAGGGAACAGAATTCACACCTCCTTTCTTGAGAATCCCTGTTACCGAAAATTACAATTAATTGTGTTGTTATGGTGGTTTTGTGGCGTTTTAATCACTTGCGGTTATTGTAATCTGTTAACAATACAGCTAATATTATCTTTCTATTGTTTTTGCATTGATATCATTTAGAAAAGCAACGTCTGACAATTATTTCAGCATCACCTCATTGGATTTGTGTAGGTCTGTCTTGAAGGGTTTGACAAATGCACCAGATTCATCTGATAGCATTTAAGAGCAACTGAAAGGACCAACTGAATCCATAATATGACATGTTAATCAGTGTTTGTTTTGTTATTTGTGTGGATTCATACATATGTATGTCCCACTGTGAATAGGTTGGGATAAATTGATGTATCTTAAATGTAAGAATACATACATATAAGTGAATATGGCTCATTGGCTCTATATGAGAGAGTAACTTGATTCCACTTGGATTTCTCAGACAGGCTCTTCCTGATGTCCATTACCATAAACTGTATTATAAATAGTGAAACAACAGCACAGGCCTGCACAACATTACTGCTCTAGATACCATTTTATAACAAAAAAAATCTATTTCAATTCTCCTTCAGGACACAATGTACCCCTAGTGTAATACAGCACCACAAGATGGCGTTATTTCACAAACTGCAGTGAAGCAGTCCTCTGACAGCATAAAACAGCTGTAGTCCATCATCCAATATGTTTTTTTTTCATCCTCTTTTAGTCTTTTAGTAGATTAGGGTTGATGCAAGTGTTTGTGGTGACTTCATTTCAGGGCTCATGTTCCAGAAAAGCAGACTTCATTAGTTAATTGTTTTTTTTAATACCACATGACTCACGGATCAGTTATTCCCAGTGTGTTCTCTACAACCTGCAGCACCTATTTATTTGATACTGCAGTGCATACAGTACTGTAAGCACTTTAGCTGTTTCTATTCTTAGCCATCATGCAATGCCATTAGGGAGGTGTCTGATCAATCTCAAATTTCTTATGCAATGACCTCAAAAATATAGCCAGAGTCACAGAGAACTATCTTCAGCTTGAAGAAGATCAAGCAGTCCTGCAGCAGATGGTTATGGCCCTCACAGAGCCCTGATCTCGACATCATTGAGTCAGTTTTGGATTACATGAAAGTCTAAAACCACAGAGGCACTGTGGCAAGTTCTGCAAGATGACCAAACAGCTTAGAAGTGCTCAAGTGTACTTCAGAGAACCAGTGCAGTTTCAAAGGAAAAACGTGGTCACATCTGGTCAAATCAGTTAATTATTGTGTGAATACAATTTCCAGCATTGTTTCTGAAAGCATCCTGATTGTTGTCCTAAATCTTTGCACACTACTATATATGATGTAGAAAGCTAGATTTCGATGCCCTTACCTTTTCTCATTGATGGCTTCCTCTCGACTGCCTTGTCCTGAGTTTTCTGAGGTGAGTCAAAAGCCGCCTTCATCTGTGCCACCTTCACAGACTGACCCGGCTCCTCAGACTTGACTTCAACTGGCTTGGGCCGGTCCTGGTGCTGCAGCTTTTCGTGCATCTGAATTGTCTCCTTTATGAGTTCTGAGACAGGCCTAGATTTGGGAGAGCTCTGGGATTTGTCTCTCATTGAGACGGTGTCATCTTTCTCTTTGCCAGTTTTTTTGTCAGTTTCTGAGTTCAGCGTCACATGAAGATCCTGCTTCTCGCTGGCTGAGACCTTTTGGCTTTCCTCTGAGATAACTGACCCACCTGCAGCCACAACAGGGCCAGCATCCACAGCTGGTGCAGCACTGTCCTTGGGGGACTCTTTCACTTTCTTTTTATTCGCCGACTGAGCATCTGCCTTCTTTGAGCCAGATAGCTGTGAATCAGTTTTACTCTCAGTGTCACCATTATCCTGCAAAGATGCTTTTACTTTCCCGCTGTCTGTCTTCTCAGCAGTTAGAGAAGGGCCTGAGTCAGCGATTTTCCCGTCACTTCTTGGAGTTGGAGACTTTGGATCAGAAGGTGCAGATTCCTCAGAGATCACACCACTCGCATCACATGACGTTCTTTCATGTGAAACAGCTGATTGTAACTTGTCTGAGTGCACACTTGTAGTGGGGCCTTTCTTTGGCTTCTTCTCTGTATCCTCCTTCACTGAAGCATCTGTTGAGTTGATGGAATTCTGTGATTTTGTGAGTGAGCTGTCACACATAGTATCAGGCTGAGAACAAAGTGAATCTGAGGTCCCACTGGGCGCAGTGGCTGTCTGCTTCATGTCCAGGTCCTTATTGTGGTTATCTTTCTTTTCAAGGTTTGCTTTCGGTTGTTTGTTTTTAGAATCTGCAGAGGAGGCTAAAACACCCTTCTTGCCAGGTTTTGACTGATCAATGTGGTCACTTGAAATCTTTGTCATTGTGCTGTCAGGGATCCTCTTCGCATCCATCTCCACAGGAACATCTGTGGCTTCCTTGCTGCCAGTGTCGACCTCCTTGATTTTAGAAAGAGATGAAGTTGCCCCTACTTTGTTTCTCTTTAGTAGCTTCTCCAAAATAGAGCTAGGCTCATTGTCTATGACTGGACTTGATGCTAAATCTGAGGACAAGGCTTGATTTGTATTTGTTTCAGATGTGTTCGTTTGTGGCTCTCCTTGGTCATCAGTGTCAGTAACCTTTGCTGAAGAGTAGTCATTCACAAGTGGCATTGGCACACATGTTAGCGTTTCCTCCTTTGTATTATTCTCTGCTCTCTCTTTTGGAGGTCTTTTGCTTTTGGAGTGAATGGTATCACTCACGTCTAATAGAGACTCCTTCTGCAGGCTGTTTTTCAAAGGATGTTGGTGTTGAGCTGGAGGCGGTTCCTTCCTCTCACTCAACCAACCCACTGTTTCTGCACAAAGCTCAATATCCTCATTCCCAACTTCAACAATCAAGGCCTCTTTCAGCTCTACATCAAGCAGCGACTTACTTTCTGCACGAGCTCCACATTTGCTGTTCTTCAGCATCACAGATCCCTCTGAGTTTATGTCTTCTTTCTCCTTCTGTGGTAAGATTTCCTCAGCCTGATTCTCCATCTTGATCTTTGAGGAGGCTTGAAGCTTCTCCCCTGTCTTCTTTTCCTCTGTCCTGGTTTGATTCAACGCCTTGTGTGCTCTTGCACTTTCCTTACTTCCCGAAGCACTCTTGTGGTTCTTGTCCGACTCATGTGGAACCGGTAGAGCATTGCTGCCTCCACCTCCTCCTCCTCCTCCTCCTCCTCCCTCCTTTCCTGCAGCCCCTCCCTGTCTCACCTCCCTTGCAGCAGAAGAACTCTCGCGCAAATTTATGTGCTTCTCACCAGAAGGTGTTGTTGGCTCCTTGCTGGGGCTCCCATCCAGATGCTGAGAGTTCGGCTCCCCTGAATTTTCGTCAGTGTTACCAGCTTCCTTCTCACATGAGTTTTCTCCCTCCATGACATCACCTGTTTGATTGCCTACACCTCCGGAGTCATTGCTCGGCCCTGTCTCCTTCGATCCTTCACCCGGGACCTGATTTCCCTCCTCCACTTTGTCCAGGTTCTGCCCCATACCGGTCTGCAGAGAAGGACATGGTGTTAACATTACAACAAAAGAACAAATCCTTCTAAATCATGCCACATGTCTGAAATGCCCAGTAGTATTTTCTTTTGCCTGTGGACCATGACTGATCTCTGCTGTGCTCTGAGCACTTCCATTAATTTTTGAACACTGAAAAAAAAAGAAGAGTGAAACAGAAGAGGAGAAACATAAGGAGCAGACACCTGAGATTAACACCACAGTCTATGGCTTTTGTTTTGGGGAAAAGACCATGTAGCATGTTGCAAACAATTCATAGTCACACAAGAGTCATTTTCATGGAAGTACGTAATCGAGTACCTTATGACTTTACCCGCTATAGTATCGTCTCTGTTGGCTTATTCATGCACTTGCAATGTCCACACCAGCTGAACTTGGGGTCAGATTACAGTCACAAGATTTTGCAGCAGTTTCTTCATTTTGAACTGATAGGTAATTCAGCAGTGTGACTGGGGCTTTCGGTATTCACTGTACGTATATAGTATTTTTAACTGTCATCATTCACTCAAATTAAATGGACTATTTGAAATATGAATCCTTCAATTGATACTTGGCATCACAGCTGATACTGAACAGGAACACCAAGTCAGACTAATTAATTTATCTCCCTCCCTCTGAAAGTTCACAAAGTCTTACGACAGCCTGTCAGTAAATCTTTCTCCCACACTCTGCAGTTTAATTTTGCCGTACTTCTTGTTGTCAGAATTTATTTCTGATTTGATTTCATGTGACTCTGTAAATTGGTGCCAGTCAGCGCTGTTGTTTTGGATTTCCACATGTTACATAAGGGGACATGATGTTAGCAGTACATAAATGTAAGCCACTGATTCAACTGATTAAAAACAAATAAAGACAAAACACAGAGCCTTGTATTATATTAATCTAACTTTGGATGTTTCATAATGTTTCTGTTTCTGTCTCCTCTCAAATGAGCTTTTATTTCATGCCGTTATTCTACTTAGAGCAGTGATGAAGATGGTGCTAATGAAGATTAATGTTCAGAAAGTGTAGCAGCATTAGCAAGAGCAGAACTGGGAATAAACTTCAGTTGTTGTCAACAAAAAAGCCAAGCACAAGGCAAAGCTCAAAATATCATGATGCAGAGACAAACTTTTCCATGACACTGTCTAATTGCCTAATGAGTTTTCGCCCAGTAAACTGCAGCAGTAAGCAGAGAAAATGGCAAGGCACAATGAACAATGATCTGGACCATGAGTCTGTTTCCTGTCCGTGGCCTCATCCCCCTCATCTGTGTGACAACATATGACTGCTCTTGTCTTATCATCTGACAGGCCTGCACGCTGGCCAGACACATGGAGGAGGGAGCTAATGTTATCACACTACAATGGTGGCGTAGCTGTGATAAACCAGAGAGAAACCAGGGGAACATGATAAACTAACGCACATAACAGAAAGAGAGATGAAACGGGAGCGCATCAGTACAACATGTCTGATTATATTTTCCTTCAGATTTTGTGTCCTTATCAGTGAGTTCAGTGAAATTCATTGATTGTCCTCCACCTACTCCATCAGCTCATGTGGGGAACCCCTTCCCCTAAGGCAGTCTATGCCTGCTAACAACCGGTCCATTATCCTGTCTTTTCCTTCCTGAATACTCAAAGCTGATCACTTGATCACCATGTGCTCTGCAGTCCCAACATACTCAGACATACAAGAATCCAACGAACATCTCAAAGAGCAAACTTTCAGCATCTGGAAAATACCTGTCTTTTCCGTCAGCTCCAGTAAGTACAGCACAACAAACTGGCACAGGCCTGATACATGACAGCTCTCTGCTACCACAATATGGTGGATTATAATATTGATCGGCTATCATATGTTGCGGCTGACACTTACCAGTTAGACGTTGTAGCCAAGTCGATCGCTCTCGCTCAGTACTGACAGAGTGCTCTTTGTTGGTTGTTTGGTGATGATCAGTCCTCCCTCAAATGCACAAGCAATGGGAGCCTTATATTACATCCATGTGATGTCACAGCACATTTGACTAATACAATCAGGGGAAACTTGGACTTGTAGATTTACTTCTCGCTGGTCTGTGAAACTTATCTGTTCGTTGTGCTTGTGTGGATTCAGATACACAAAGAATTATTTCTGGATGTAAGATCTGTATAAATAGTAGCCTTTTCAGCTTGTATTAAACTGGAAAACAGGAAGATAAACCTGATCCTGATACCTTGAGTGAATATGAGGAATCTCCAGATTTTTTTCTGCTTCCCTGTTTGCACACCAGTGGTACGAGCTGCACACTGTTAGACTAAGATAAGTAGGAGATGGTAAAAAAAAAAAAAAAAAGTTGTGTCTGGGATAAATGGTGAGCAATCGTAGGCAGGCTGGGCATGTCTGGGAGTGTGGGAAATGATGTGAAAAACAGCTCCGACATTTTCTTTTGTTTCTCTTGGTTTCTATAGTTACGTGCAAAACAGGATACGTCCTCAGATAATAAAACAAAAGTGGAGGTACGGCAGCCAAGAAATCACCGGCAGAAGAAGGGGAAGAGGGGCCGGCCCACACCCACCGACTGTACACTGAAGGCTGCTATGTTGACAGACAGGCTGCTAGTGTTCTTGCCAACCGGTGTTTTTGTGTTTGTAAAGTGTTGCAGGTCACTCGGAATCTTGTCTAGACAAAAGCCAATCCGTCTCTAATTGCAGATAATCATTAAGTCAAAGTCGACTCCGCAGGCTTCTTGGCACAGAGCTCTATTTAGTCCCACTGTCATTTAAATGTTTATAGTTTACAGTAGTCAGACACATTTCCATCCCACACTTCTCACAATGCCCCGTCTCACACGAGCAGCACTAAATAACATCGTTGCCACCTCAATGCTCCACCGCACGCTGCTCTGTAAACAGGGCCTACCCTTCATTAGACAGGCACGCACGGTCATATAGGCCGGGAGGAACAAGAGCGTGTAACTTAAGTAATTCACTGATGTCATGCAAACAGTGACGGGAAGCCAAATGTTATATAACCTGGCTGTTAGAAATCGCCTCTCCTGCCAAAGCATACAGATGGGGGCATGATGATGTAATTTCAGGGTACACACTCCACCGCGGTCGAGTCAGTACACACACAGCGAGTTATTCCGAAATATCTGTGCCCGATAGTTTCCCCATTCAGGAAAACTGTAATTTGCTACAGTCATCTCTCACTAAAAACTATTGAATGACAAGTAAGAACAAAACAGGATCCAATTATGTAAAAGAAATGTTTATTTCCATAATTAACACATACAGTACATTGTTTTTTTTTTACCAACATAAAAAGTGCAATATGCATTCAAACTACAGCAATGTACAGTACAAAAATTACTGCATACTTAAATATAAAAAGAAAATGGTTACAAAACTGTGAAGTAACCTATTGTGATCGTTGTCACGTCAGCGTGACAAAAGCTTTAAAACTCATCGATGATATGAGCGTAAAAGCTTAACAGCTATGAGCCGACGACTCCACTGAGTCTCTTTCGTTTCTCCCAAAGGTGCAAAAAGATGTGACAGCATTTAAATACGTACGTGATTGACATTATGATTCACATATTTTGTACAGCTTCAATGGTGTTTCCAATTTGTCAAGACAGCCAAAAAAATTATAATTAAAAAAACAACTTTGGTCTTTCACATTTCAAAAAGCACAAATGAGTTAAAAATGTTGGCAACCCTTAAAATGGAATTTAAGGTAAAGAATGTTTGGGTTTTGTGTTTTTAGATGTTTATCGTCAGTTAACTTGAGCTTACAGACATTATATGATTTGACTGTCTCCGTCTCTGTCACACTAGGCGTTTGTGTTATGATTTCAAGCCATGCAGCATGACTCCTCACTCTGCTCTCCCACAGCATCGTACATGGTAGGGAATGATGAGGTCAATAACATTACTCCAATGTTATTTTGGAAGATAGCTTGCTGTGTACCAGTATTCACTCAATTAAAAAAAAAAAAAAAAGCAGTGCAAAGGAACAACAAACTCAGAAATGTTTTCTGTTCTGTTTGTTGACAACAGTGAGCATGCCTCTCTCTCTCTATCACGTTCATCTCATCCACTCACTCAGAGACTCGCACATACTTGATGCATTAACATACACTTCTGCATTAAAATGAGCTCCAAACAAATTTCCTCACTTTAACTCGACATCAGCAAATTAACTGAATTAAAGTCTTGCCTGGTGTTCATCTGGGCAAGAGCTCTATGAATGCAACATGAGGTAACCATTAATTTTACAACCCTCTAGCATCTAAAACATAAACTGTGTGGTAAACAACTCTACATTTATTTAACACTTTGCTTTCTGTCAAGCTTTTTGAGGGACTCTAGGTCATTAATGTAGGCTACCACTTTGTACCTGACAGGGGAAGATAATGTAAGTGCCAATGGATACCAAGTTAAAGGTTATAGAGCGCCTTGTACCGTCTCATCCTGCATTCTAACACACAGCTCTGTGCCTCTGGTCTCGTAGGTAAGGCACTTGTTTGTCCATGAATCAAACAAAGTTAGAGGTGAACTGATGGCTTTACACACTTGTCAGATACAGCAATATGACTTTCATCACTGTGAACAGCAGTTTGAGAAACTATGTGGCAAAGGAGAGTGTACACTCCTTGTAACAACAGTTGGCATTGTTTTGTTTTTTTGTTTCTTTTCATTTGTTATCTCAGACTCAACTCCCTCCTGTCTCCAGAATCTGTACAACCTCCTCCAGCCCCGCAGGGCGTCAAATGAGGGGGTGAGTGGAGTGTATATGAACTCCACTTGATTTGTCAGCTTCTGGGCTCACTTGATAGTGCTCTCTCTGGAGTGTGCAGGTCCTTGCAGGGCCGGGACAGAGCAGAAGTGGTGGGGGAGTCCCACTCTAGGCCAGGGTCTGGCTCTGGGGACAGCGAGAGGAGCAGCAGTGTTCCTGCATCTGAGGAGCAGGCCGAACACAGGTCCTCGGAGGAGAAGTCGAGGCTGCCCAACTTGGCCAGCGAGTTGGACCGCTTCAGCCTCGAGGGCACGGTTAGGCCTGCCAGCCGCATGCGGGTCTCGATCTCCTGCGCCCTCTGACGTACGAGGCCAGGTTTTCCCCGAACGCTTCGCAGACTGTCACTGCTGGAGCTGCGCGTCAGCGTGGAGCCATGAGGCGAGGAGGTGGGTGTGAGCAGCCCAGACCCCACCACCCCCAGCAAGGCTTCATTGGTCAGTGGCACCACCAGTGGCTCTAACCGCACTTGGCATGGTGTTGAGGATTTAGCGAAGTCACCAGCAAAGCCAGAGAACTCCTCTTCCTCCTCAGTGTGAAAGGGACTCTTCTTGGACCTTTGGCATTCGTGCAAAGGCTTCAGAGAGTGCAGGCTGTCCTGAGATAAACCCGAAAGTTTCTCTAGTCTCTCTGCACGGCGGCGGACCAGCCCGGATCGACGCAGCTGAAAAAGGGTCTCTTGTTGTTGGCCAAGGTAACAAGCCACTGCAGGCTTCTCTTCCTCCAAATCCATTCTCATCAGCTCTGGAAGAGCCTCTGAGGCAGCTGCAGACTGGCTTTCATCAAGCTCAGCCTTCACTTCCAAGAAATCACCATTGTCCTCAGGCTCCACTATTTGCAGTGATTCTCCTGGCTGCTCCTGTCTGTCAAGCGGAGCCGTGGGTGGGGAGGCAGCACAGTTGGCACAGTCACACAGGGGGCCACAGGGGCTCAGCAGTCCCACTGAAGACGAGAGGCCTTCAGGAGAGGTATGGGACTGTGGAAATGAAGCACTTGGGACTTCAGGAGGACTGGGGTTAAGGCAAAGCTTAGAGGCCAGGCTTGGAGAATCTTCTTTCTGACTGGACTTAGTCTGATCCCACCACGGCAGAGCAGGAGCGTCAGTTGGAAGAAGGATGGAGGAAGGTTTTTCCTAAATGAAGCCAGGACAGAAAAACAAATACCAGATGAACAGTTATTTACTTAAACTTTACTCATGTAATCAATAACAGCGCTGTCATTCTAAAATGTGGGTTGATCATAACTTACAATGTGGTTACGAACAGTGCTCAAGTGGTTGTTGTTGTTGGAATTTTCGTTGAGGGTTGCCAGGTCCATGCCGTTACCCTCCGTGTCCCCCTCTACCTCCACATCTTGCGCGTCGCCACCGCCTCCTTCACCGCCCCCTCCATCATCTGGCTGCATTAGCACCTCCATCTCTGCCTCCTCCTTTTGCACATCCTCCTCATCCTCCTCCTCCACCGTACTGAACTCCAGCCTCAGACGCAGCTCCTCCAGGGGCTCGGGGCCACGACTGCAGGTCTGGGCAGCAGTTCCCTCAGCTGTAGGACCAAAGTGGGGGAGCGGCAGGCCCTCGCGTCCATCGAAGGCCTCATCATCCAGCAGAGCATCTCGCTCCACATCCTCGATTTCTATAAAGACTTTTTCCATGCCGAGAAGAGGGGGACCGCGCACAGGCGTGGATGGTTCGCTGTCCAGTGCTGAGTCAGAGAGCCGGCGGAAATAGTAGTTGTTGTAGGCCGGGTCGATCTCCAGCGCAACAGTCCTGCACGGCGAGGGGCAAGCTGCACCTTTGTCAGATAGCGCCTCCTCGCAGCAGGGAGACATTCCGGGCTCAGGAGTCAGGTGGCCTCCCTCCTCTCCTCCACAACACTGGGTCAAGCCATGCTGCCCCTCTGCCATCTCACAGTCTGCATCTGGATGCCACAGCTTGTTGTGCCGCTGTTTACTAGAAATACAGAAATACAACGTGGAGAGCGAGAGCAGAAGTCACGTCACAGATCAACTGAGGGTGGTACGGTGTATTAAAGGGCGTCTGAGCTGCCCCTTTTAGATAAACACATACAGAGAAAGGCTACAAGTAAACAACACACAAACATACAATGAGTAAAGAACAGTACCTGGCATCTAAAATGCCCTCGTACTCCGCCAGCTGTCTCATGAAACCTGGGTTGGGTCGTG